GGGGGACGGGGGGGGGGGGGGGTTCCTGTTGGTTCCTCACCATCCCAACAAAAAATTGGTGTGCAATGTCTACTTCTGAAGTCCGAAGACATGTTTTGTGGGACCCTGGTACTAGAACAAACAAAGGCCGTCCAGCCCGCGTGCTGGAAATCTCTGCGCATGTTTTTGTTGACAACTTCCAAGTATTTCAGCAAACCCATTGACTATGTCTGGCCGAATGCTGGTTTCCCATATTGAAGTCATTCAATTACCATCTACAATCGCTTGGCTGGAAAAAAGCAACAACCATCTGCCAAGGGCTTGGGCTTAATACACCACCTGGGAGATGTAGGGTTCCCACAATTGAGCTCGTTGGCTTTCATGGTTTTTGAGCACGCTGCGTAGCCTGGTTGTGATTCTAATCCTGTGTTAAATCCGGTCCGTGGAAATACAAGTTGTTCACTCACATTCTACGGCCAGGAATCTTGATGGGGCCGCCGAAATAGTGGACATACATCTCCGAATTATGCCCTCAGGGTTTTGAATTTATATTCAATTTCCTCAGCTCAGCTTTGCATTTTGCAAGACGAAAAGGACCCCATTAGGGACTGAAGGATCCGGCTCTTCTCTGTGCTCATCCAGGTAGGCCGCAAGCATGAAGCTACCAGGCCTCAACGATCGATGCTGCTTGAAGTGAACGCTACCCTCTGCCCCGCTAAGAAAAACAACAACCAGCTAGTTGAGATTGTAGGTTCAAAGGCACCTTTGCTGCATGCTGTAAATAAAACTCAGGCGTCCCAGGGCTTAAAACATTTGGGCAACCAGCCAAATGAAGAGAGCGAATACTACAACACAAGCTCCACAGTTTAAAGATGGGTTTGAATGAGTCAGAACACTCCGTCGGATTCCCCACCATGTTTGGCTGTCAAAGCCAGCATTCATTTCTTGAAAAGACGGCTTCAACAGGGAACCGACGTCTTTTTTTGTGTGGCGATATGCCTTCGCGGCATTGAGCTGCTTTCCTTGTCTAAGCGGAACAGCGACCCAGGCCGAACAAACAACAAATATGGCTGAGGACCATCAGCCCAGCAAACAAGTGATCTCAATCAAGCTAAAATGGCTTACTTGTGATGTCGAAATGACCCAACGTGGAACCTCTTCGTTAAGGGGGTCCGAAAACACAGCCAGAAACCGGTCGACAATGAATCTCAGACTGAGTTTGTGGGAGACAGGGACCTGCAGGTTTCTTTCAAGCATTGCGGCAAGCCTTTGATGGTCCACTGGAAGCTGCCGACAAATTCTCCAAACCACGCTTGCAAGTTGTGCCGCGCCGTTTCAAACAAAAGGGGTCAAGTCTTGGAGGATACGAGAATAGACTTTGCCCGCACTGACTGCAATAGAATCCTATCATAGAATCAGGAGGCCTCCGAGCAACCTCCCTGCACCTCTCAGTTGTGACGGTGACACCCTAACCAATACTATTCCCTTGAGGTTTGCCTTCAAGACAACATATCAACAGGATACATTGCAAAACCAGCAATCAACAGGAACTAACAAAAACGCTTGGTGGTTTGGGACCTCAGGTGGCATTGTTGCCAACATGGGAAAAGGAAAAGGTCAAATCAAATTGTCAGGCCAGAAACTGCAACAACAAAGCCTCAGTGCCCACGTACATTCTGAGGATGTACTTGGACGAGATGGATCAAAGTAAGTCCTTTGAGTAGCTTACTTCCAGATGGCTTGGTCCGAAGTAGTCGAGACTTGGTGCTTACCACCAAAATGAGCTTCCCAAACAACTTGAAGTAAAACAAGGCTTCTCAAGAAAAAGTTATACATACATGTGGGTGTCTCTTTTTTTGAGGATACCAATGTTTGGTAGTTTTCAAGGAACACCAAAAGGAAAACCACCATTTTCGGGGCTCCCTGCAAAAAGACACACCCATATTCTTCTGAAACAAGACACACCCCAAAACGGGAAATTGCAGCTGAAGGCGGCTTGGATCCCAGCCATGGCGTGTAGCCCAGCCCACCGGTGTCCGGCCACTTCACCTGGCTCGGAAGCAAACCCACGAACCGTCCCAAAGCGCTTCAAGCATCTACTAAACCTATCTTGCCCCCTCCGAATACATCCTGAGAAGGTATCCGGACCCTTGGGAGCCATTTTCACCACATGATTTGTTGTTAAGATTAGATTCGGTGGTAATAAGCTTAAAGTGAGTGTGGTGGCAACACTGCTGCAGAGGTAATTCTTGGGGTGCATGTCGCCTCAGCAATTGGTTCTGCACAGCTCTGTGCAGCAGGGGTGTGCTTGTCGAAGGCACTTTTGTCGCAGGGTTGTCAAACAGTGAAAGTGGCAGATAAGTGACGTTACGCCTAATCTGCGGAAACTATCTTCCAGGACCATTTTGCAAGCTGTTTCAAGCTCAAACTTGGAGATGCCACTGGATGGTTTGACTGAACAAACGGGTTGACCAAAACAACTGGCAACAAAACCGAACTGGCGATGAACCGAACCACTATGTAAGGGGTACATACCCCATGTTCCCTCTTACATGGACGTGCAATTGTGGCTCGGGCAATCCCACTTGAACCAGGATCAACACTTGCTACCCATGGCCAAAATGTGCTACTTTCTCTGTCTGTTTTTGGAAAAGTCACGGTCTCTCCTCACCCCCGCCTCCCCCCCGTCCCCCCAACAGGACAATAAGGAGCGTGTTTCTCGAAAAAAGGCACTCCTCCAGGAGGTTGGTTACCTTTTGGTCTTCCTTCAGAACCCTCCCAAAAGGAGAAGCCGGACCACTGAAAAATGAGAAGCACCCATAGACCAAAGTAACATCGACGGAGCTCACATGCCGCGCCCGTCGAACGGGTCGCCTGGTAGGTGCGGCCTTCAGAGAGCCAGCGCCGCTCGATGGTGGTGGCACTGCTCTTGGCCTGGCTCAGAGTTGTACCCAGGCGTCAAATAGAGCATCCAGAGGAAGAGCACGGCTGGGTAGTCATTGATAAAAAAAAAAACAACACTTTTACCACTTAATCATGTTGATGGAAGCACTTTTGCACAGCCCCGAAACACGCTTTTATTTGGAGTTTTGCCGGAAGTCTCTTCCGACCGCACTGGGGGGTACAGCGAACAAAGTCTTTGATTGGGTTTCCTCACTGTACCTTTAGCGAATTTGGATGGTTCACGTCTTTAAAACCAAAACAGTTGGCACAGGCTGGACCCCGCTCGGATAAGGACCGAAGTTGAAATCATCGGGAACCGCTGGACCCGATCAACAGGGTTATAAACAATGGATGGCAAACCCAACAAGCTGAACCAGGCTATTGCCTGCAAAACTCGAAATCCAGCACAAGCGACCGCTTGCAGGGTTTTCTTCGATACTACGGTTGCAACCGCTGGCTATAGGGTGCCCGAACTTTCCTTCGAAACATCAAAAGCTGGTGTTGCACGGTGATGCAAAGCCGACCTGAATTAACGGACCAGAAGCAGAGACTCAACTCAGGCCGCTAAAATGCTGAAAACACACCAGCCCAAAGTTTAGCGAGTTTGCCAACTCAACAGACAAGACCACAAAGTAGGGTGCCATTCTTTTGGTTAAATCACCCATGATGTTGAATTCCTGGTAAGTTTCTGAAACCTCTCTAAAGGGTTGTCCAAAGCGCACACACTGCACATATCTTTGTTGGACCCTTTTTGTGACCGCCGCCAAAGAGAAAAATGGATGGGCACTGGGGCCACGTTGGGACCGTTTCTTGAAGGAAACTCCTTAGCCAAGGGAAACATGCCCGCCATCAGCTAGCGGCTCCACAGATCCACGATCACTCCGGCCTGACCCATGGCTCGATCAACTGCCACAACTCCGGGCCGTGTCCATGCAGCTGATCTATATGCTCTCAAACTCGTGCAGTCAGGGCTATCGTTGTTTGTGAATGCAACCAAGGCACAATAAAGCCATCCTTTATCTAAGGAGCTCAATCAGTTTTGCTCGCTGCTTCAGAGATAGTTATGAGACTGTGCGCAAACATCTGAGGCAACGCTCCCAGTGTTCTTGTGCTGATCTGCTCGATGTGCTCTGCACCTAGCTTGCTCCCATTCTCCTCTCAAGAGAAGTATGTTAGTTCCCGAAACACCACCCTTTATTTACAACAAGAAGACTGGCAGCCATTGTCCGGGCCCCGCTTTATTCTCATTCTCACGCCTTGTTGGGTTCGGGACTGCTCAGATGTCGAAGCTTCGAAGCTGTGCTGTGTTCAATGTCTGAGCCGGAGCATGGCCAAGCACAGGCGCAGTGTCAATCGCCGCAAGTTGACACAATCCTGGCGAGTGGCCTCCAAGAGACGCATAGCAAATACACGGTGTTCTTTGAAGCGCAATGGCCAAAAAGGCAACACACTTTGCGGTGACAACACTGGAAGCAGTTCATGTGATGAATTACCAGCCACCTGAAACTTAGTCGAACTCCTGTGGCTTTAGTCGAATTTCCGGTGGCTAGCGCTTGCATGAATCATTGCAGCCCAGAGTTGGGAGACCCCCGAATCCCCGAAATGTACTTGCGCGTTTCGTCAACCACGCGGCCCAAGTTGAATAATCCAGGCAAAGGTATGCATGCTGGCACGGATTCAAAAAAAAAGAACTATTTGAAGGGGCTCCCTGGGTCAATGCCCTGTCATGACAGGACACCAACTTCCAAAAGTCATTGGCATTTGCTATTCGGGGAGCACCAAAGGAGAGAAGAGCAGGGGGAAAAGCAGATGCCGAGAGAAGAGTGGCGCGAAAAGCGGAGCGAAGCCTGGGGAGAGAAGTGGCCAAAAGAGGGGCGAGAAGAGCGGAGAGAAGAGCGAAGCGGCGAATCAGGTGAAGGAGCAGGGCCGGGCAGAGCAGGGGGGAGTTGAGCCTGGGGGGGGCAAGGCGAGGCGGAGCACCGAAGGGGAACCTTGGTGAATGGTCAGCCGCCATTTCTGGTGTTCAAACACTGCTGGCCAAAACACACAGCGCAGAGTTCGCAGCCCAATCAGTTCGCCTTCCAGGAGCTTCACAAAGGCGGTGGGCGTGGCTGTCCACAGGGTCTCGAAGCAGATGGGGCACTCCGCTGTTCGGTCCTCGCTCTCGCTGGGCACGCGAGCGAGTCTGCGCTTTGCAAACCAAACGCCAGGATTGGCTTGTGCGCCTCATCCTGTGGATTGTCCCTTTGAGAGCGCTAAAAGAGAGCAACAATGAATAATGATAGCTGGGGCATCCAACGAGCTGCTCAGCAGAAGGGAAGAGTCCAACCATGTCCGAAGGGTAACACTTGAAACAACTGTCTCAGTTTGACATACTCCATTTCCCTGAAGGCACCCACACGACGGACAGACTATGCCAGGCTAGGGAAGCCCAGCCAATGACGAGGACCCTTCTATCAGTCGTAAGGTTGGGACCTACTCGAATCGTTAAATCGGGAATACTACCATTCACGCTGCACTCAATACAATTTGCCAAATCAATAAATGAGCATGGGACCTTCGTCACAAGTAAGCTCGCTCACGAGAATGATTGGCTTCCCCGGAAGTGTTGGACGCTGCACGCACATCGCAGGAAGACATGCTGCAAGTCCCTTAGTATCACAGGAAGCATGTCCTGGGTCTGCGTGTTTAGGTTCTTCTAGGTCCTCATGTCAAGCCATACAGGGGGCTCTCCCGAATGTCATACCCCATTGCGAACAGTAGCCCTTGAACATGTCAGTCGCACAGGCAGCTGTCAAGCAGGCACACCGATGCACCAATCCACCGACCCACCTCTCTGGCTAGGTTCCAAGATTCAAAGCACAACTCCTCAACTTGAAACATTGACCGCAGGGAATTCGATGTATTCATTTGGGTCCTGTTGGTGGACACCAACCATTCCTGAGTATGTGTGGCCGCCAACCGCTGTTGAGAGTGTTCCAACCACTGAATTGCATAGCGGTCTTTCATACCCAGATTAGATCATCCCCTTATCATTGAGAAGCTCTTGAACCCTTTGGAGGGAAACTTCAGACTAAATGTCAATTGGGGCCCTTGAAGGGAAACCCGAGGAACCTCCACATAGCACCCCACGTTGCTTTGAAGGGAAGCCCATTTTGGAGGCAGCTTGCTCCTCCAAGAGGGCAGTGGGCTGCTGCCACTGGTCCACATCCTGACTCGAATCAATTCGGCCGGACCTAAAAGGAACACCCTAAAACAATCAGTGGCCTTGGCCTATTGGCCATGTCACTTGGCCCTAACATTGGGAGTGGTGTTCTGTGGCCACATGGCCGCAAGGCCGTTTCAGCCAGATAAGGCTTTAATGGCTGGGATGCCTTTGGGAAGTTTTGTTGGGGCCTTGAGCAAGTCTGCCAGATTTTGATTTTTGAAACCGCTGCCAAGGAACATGTTTCAAAACGAGTTGGACCCCTCCTAATTTGTAGGTTCATGTTTTTGTTCCTGTAGAACCAACCGAGGAGGCAGACCCTAGTTTTGGAAAGCCCAAATGAACATGTTTACAGTGTCCTAGTATAGATTATATTTGTTTGATATAAGTATTCGACATGCAAAAGAAGCCAAGCTCATCCTGGGCAGAATTGGTCGCAAATCAAATCCCTGGTGATTATATTTTCCAACCTCCCGGTACTTCGACTGCATGTTCTATCAAACCAACACTCAAAGTTGGATGATCTGTGAGACAGCATTTGCCATGTTGAACTTGGGCTTCAAACATGATTCGACAAGCGGTTGGCCTCGCGCCCTGGAATGACACATGAACACAGCACCACCCTTGACTGCTTTTTCCCCTGGTCAAAACCCTTATGGTCACAACACGTCCGACTACAGGGGCCGAACATCGAGAAACTGAACCCTGGGTGAAGACGTCGACCGCAAGCAGTCCAAAAATAGCAGGCCTAAACCAAAGCCCATTTCCCAAGCAGTTGAAGTTTCAAATTCCAACGAGCAGCCACATGCTATGAATTTCAATAGGGACCCCAAAAAAGCTTGGTAGCCATGTCCCACCAACCTTGTGCTTCTCAGGAATATTCACATGAACAACCCTTTTAACATCACCCAAGGCCCAACACCAAACTAAGCAAATTCAACCAATATTGAGCTATTCAAAAAGTGATTCTTGAACAAAACAGGGTTACGCTCACGTCCCCCCCCCCCAAGTAGCCTGCAGGGCGATCTACCAAAGACTCCGGCAACAATGTTCCTTCCAGAACCAGGTGTTCTTCCCAAGTCTGAAGACCAAATCAAGAGGGCTGCCCCCACAAACCCGCTCGGCACGATAGAAATTTGGGCAGTCAGAAAACCGTTCAGCGATTTTCTACCCAAACCGGTTCTGATCTATCATTATACCACCCACTCTTCGGGGCCATCAAACAAGGGGCGAAATGATTTCCAAGTACCCCAAACCCCATTCTAACTATGTGTGCCCTTCTAAGCAAATCTGCACGTCTGTTTCAGTAAGATCTCCCCCGGTTCACACCTGGCCAATGCGCGCCAGCAACGGCGCCAGCAGCTCATTGAAGCCTCGAACTTTCTTGTCCGCCTCGCGCAGCTTTGGTGGGAAGATGTGGGAAGCCCAAAGTGGACGGTTGGGGAACACCGTCCAAATGGAGAACACCTAAACAGCCAACTTGCCGCTTCTTCGAAGACACGCTGTCCTGGAGATGTAAAACAAGAGAGCGTCAGAGTTGCTGGGGAAGAGAACAGCAACTGGTACTGGTGATCCAGGTACGCCCAAATGGCTGCTGTCCCTTTTGTCTCCCTTCACACCGCAGCCGACAAGGCCATCCAAAACATCCCATGGAAAAAGATACTGTTAGAGACTTCATTCAGATTTAAAGAGCCTTCCGGATTAACCAGAGGTTCATATTTTGCTGGGTTGCTCTCACAAAGATGTCAAACGTTTAAATATAATAATAGAATCGCCTAGGGTTCCTCTCCGCAAGTCTTGGGAGAATGCAATTCGTTTAACCTGAAGTGTGTCTACGGAAAACAAGGATAAAGCCGGCCAGCTGAAACAAGATGAAACAACATGAAACTAGTGCCATCTTGCGGATGCCCTATTGACAACTTTGGATTAGTCCGGCAGAGCATCCTAATCAGGGATGGCTCCCCTTTTAGTGCCGAATCACTCCATCTTGGAGATTTTCCCAGATTAGTTTTGTCCTTCGGATTAATCCGAAGCTGACCGTATACTGACATCCACTGAATGGACAGCTAAGCATATTTCAAGGGGACTGTTGGGCGCACCCAAAGGACAATGGCACGAATGGCACCGAGTGCAGGGGCCAAATGGGCCAGAAAGGGATGCACTGTCCAATCCCAATTTGCTTTCTTCACGTAATCAACGCATTCAGGGCCCACCCTGCTGTGAAGCCGAATTGGAACACCTGGAAAGTGATATGAGGGTGTCTTTCGCCACATCTGTCCAAACAGGCACCTGACAAGGCACAAAGGACCATTTTTCCGATATACAATTGTCAAATGTGTTTTGAAAACTTTGTTCTCCAACATTTTAAGTTTGACAAAACAAGGTTTCGTATCGGTCGCATACGCACATGTCACTGTGTGACTGAAGCCAAAGCTATACGCGTAAATGCGGTCAAAGAATGGCTTGACCGCAAACTACAAGTTCTCACAGGTCCGAAACCAAGAACCAAACCGTGCGAAGCGACAGCAACGCCCCGCGAGAGGTTTAGCACGCCTGGTCCTGGGCGAACAAGTAAAGAGGCACCCCGTGGCACATGGAGGTGCCGCTGGCACCCACAGAGAGCAGCACCCTGCCAAATTGTTTTCGAATGCGCGCGCTCGGCCAAATACCCGGCCCGTTTCTTGGAGAACTAAAGGGGAGATCACAGAACTGCTCAGGAACACTGCCTGGCATGGTTCGAAGTCCCTGTTGAGTGCGTTGTAGCCAGGCTATCCAGTTGCGCACTAAGCATGCTGCCCCGTCAACTGGCCAAAGGAGCTACGCTAAGTCAAATTGGGATTTCCTTGGAACCATGGGTGGTTTCCCACGTCGGAGTTGGTAAGCATATGGGTTCCTTCGATGAAGCCCCACACATGGGTAGCTTCCCGAGCAAAATAGCTTTAAACCATGCCCTAACGGGTGCCAACAAAGGGCAGCCGCACTCCATGAGCGAAGGCTTTAAACAAAAACCAACAAGCCATGTGGGATCCCTGCGCTAGGAAAAGGTCAGATCTCTTAGATTTGCTGAAGGTGATTAGTTATTTGTCCGTGTTGCGCATGAATGTAGAAAGGAGCATATTCCTGGCAAAAACTCAGTGATCTTTGCCGCGAGCAACCCCCAAAGCACACCCTGCAAACCTTTGCAGCTGGGGTGTTGAATCGCTTGGCAAACCAGCAGGTCGTCTAAGTACTCCAAACATCCTGCTTGTTTCTTGTGAAGAGAGGGGGGTTGTCTGACCAAACAGCGAGGTGTTTACCGTGGAGAACTTATTGTTCCAGAGACATACCTTTGAGCACAGCAGATATTTGGAGAAGGGTAGGTTGGAACGGACAGCCAGAACAAATGAGATTAAGAGGAAGAAGCAATGTACATATGAATGAGCTCAACCAGAGCTTGGCTTTGTGCTTCTCGGCCACATCCATCGGGGTCCCGCCAAAGCGACGCGAAGTGGTCATTGCACAAAAATACAACATCCAGGCCTCAAGCGGTAGGGGCCCCAGAATCACTAGCCCTACAAGTGGCTCTGGGGCTTAACCATGTGCCCCTGGCGACTAAACGTCTTCCATGAGTGTGTGTCGAAATACGGAGAGCCCAAAATGTTGGCTTCCTTTTGGTTTCCCTTTAGACCAACCTGAAAAGGATACCGTCCAACAAAAACAAGCCCACAGTATGCCAATTATGTATACTATCTATATATAAACAGAGAGAGAGAGAGAGAGCCCCCTCATACATGAGTGGGTGTTTGTAAACCATGAAATATAACAACTTGCTATTGTTGTTTAATCTACCGTTGCAGCTTCTGCTTAGGTGCGGTGCAGGGGCACCCACCCAGTACGTGGTTGGGCCTTTGGACTCTGTGTGTTGTGTTGCGGGTCTGGGAAAGGCGCAATACATGTCCGTGCGCTATACTTCTAGCAGAAACTATTACTATGACTTATTTAGCACCAAGCTTGCCCCCCCCTCTTTGAAGGCCGTAATCTTGGACCCCTTCGAGAAGGCTTCTACACAAAACAAGGTGTAGTTATTTAAACCCTGCAACCGCAAGACATCAGCCGAATCTGCAGAACAACTGTTTCACATAGTCGAAGTTTAAATTGGACTTTCAACATCCCAGGCCCAACAGGCCATTCGTCCGCAGCTGAAGCTTCACTTCTGCGCAGTTGTAGGGCTGCAATGAGATGTTGAACGCAATGGGAACTACACACATATCTATACAACCTGCAACAAGGCCAGCACTCATGACACATGCTCCGCAAGTAACCAAGCACAGTTGACCTTTTGCTCGCTGCGGCCTTGAAAACCGGCGCTTTTGTTGCGCTGTTTGGCTCACATCTTGCTGCCAAAGAGGAGAGAGAATGGCAGTGCCACGCAGACCATGCCGCCAAAGGTGTTGCCCAAGGTGACAGGCAGGAGGTTGTTCAAAAGAAAGGCGGTCCATGAGACATCGGCTCCAGCGAAGATGCCCGCAGGGATAATGAACATGTTTGCCACGGAGTGCTCAAGGCCTAATGTAACAAAGGCAGAGATGGGGAGCCAAATGGCCACGGCCTTGCCCGTTGCATCCTTGGCCATTGATGCCAGGTACACCGCCATACACACCAGCCAGTTGCAGAGAATGCCTCGCACAAAGGCCGTCTCAAAGGGCAAGGAGGTCTTGGCCACGGCCAGAGTCACAGTGGCGCCACCGTGTGCCATGGTCCCTGAGAGGATGGCCAACTTGGCCAAGCCAACAGCCCCAATGAGGTTACCCAACCTGAGTTGCCCAGTCGTAAACCAGGGGGGGCAATCCTGTTTGGGGTTGACATGGGTTGACCATAAACCCTGTATGGGCGGTGGATACCCAGTTTTTGCAACCTTTACTCAAACACTAAGTCACCAAACCATTGGGTTCAACATGTTGCAGCCATTGCGTACGTCTTGCGTGTTCCCAGTCAAGGGTCCGCTTCTTTTCATGTTCAGGTTGCTTTAAGGCGAAAAGTTCGAAACCAACAGGAACATCCACCGGTTTTGGGAGTTCCCTTAACACATACTGGGCAGCCACGAGAGGACCAAAGACTTCAGCAGCTGCCGTGGTTCCGCTTGGTTTTCCAAGACCGCCATGGAGACCATGGCCGCATTGCCGGTGAAGAGCTCCACGCCTCCGTTTCTGTCTGCTCATTTACCCTCTATTGGATTCGCCGGAGCTTAGGGGTTTCAACTTTTCCCACAAGAACCACTGCTTCAAATCCACCAATCCAAACCACTGACGGTTACTTGAGTTGTAATATATAGGTGGAACAATCAACCAGTTGTCTGTTTGGGATTCTTGCCAAGGGAACCTTGAAACATTGTTCAAGCAACCAGTTGCCCCTGTCCATTCATTGCCTTTCGAGGGAATCCAACAGCAAATTTGTTAAACGTGAAACAAACGTGCTCAAACCAGAGCTTAACTACCAGTTGCCTGTGTCAAAGTCCTTGGGTAAACTGAAAGGAGGCTGGTTTAAACACCGGTGTATTGCCATGAAGGAGTTGAGTAGCAACCTGGTTGAACGGCCCAACCCTGCCTGACAGCAAGGTCATAAAGAGCCCGAAAGGCAGGCCAAAGGCGCCGAAAATGAGTTTCTGGAGACCCGGGTTGGATTGCACCAATTGCGGGCAAGCGCCACCCACAGTACAGGCCAAATATGCCCCATAGCCAATGAAGGCACCCGCCATGATGCCCGAAACTAAGAGCTTGGAAGGCTTCAGATTGGCCTTAGCGGCACCTGCATAGACAGCTCCTTGAAAGCCATCCAAAGGTGGCGCTAGGAGAGGTGGAAGCTGCATGGCTGCACTCCACTTGGGCCGCTTAAGGATTCACATAGATGTCATGGTCATGGGAAAAACCGCCGTGCCAAGCTGCACTTGACGCTGCAATATACGTGATTCATCTTATGCCATTCCGCACAGGAACACATCATGCCCAGCCCCCGCTCAAACACTTTCAACAACTCAGGTGTGCGTTCTTTCTCTCTGGCCATTTGTAAGGGCCGTTTGTAAGATGTCACTTTGGGAAAGGGCGACAGGCGGGGTTCGCCAAGTCCCATTCTGAGAAATAGGGCGGGCGGCAAAACACCAGCCCCACGCCGTGAAACTCCTGCCATACACGATTTTGTTTTGGAATTGAACAAGGCAAGATGAATCCCTGAGGGGGTGTGGATGTGGAACATTGCTCCCTTAGACTTCACCCCACCTGTACGAACATAGTTTTAACATGGCCCGAAAAGGGATAAGGGTGGTGGTTGTTTCGCCTATTCAGTCTGAATTGAAGTACATATACATATGTATATATATAGGTAGACTTTCTGGGCTGGTTCTAAAGGGGAAAAAAGGAGAACCACGCTTTGGACTTTCGTCGCTCGCCTAGCGACAGCAAGCCACTCGGCGTCCTCGGCCTGGAGCTGTGATGGGCGAGGGTGTTTTGGGTTGGCTTGTCGGAGGTGAATCGGTCCGTGTTTTGCAACGAAGAAGGGGTTGTACTGCTGTCACGGCTCAGGCCCAACGTGCCATTCTGAAGCCCAAGTTAAAAACATGCCAATGCTGTTGACTTGCTAATCCAGATTTGCCCACAAATCAAAAGAAGCCATATATTTTGCTTTCGTCCTGCAGGCTCCGTGCGGACTCAATTCCAGGGTTCCAACTGGACATCCAACCTATCTCACCAATGACCTGGGAGTGGCTCACAACTAAACAGTCGGGGTTACACAGGTTTTAGTCCACTCGTCCGTTCACCAGGGTTTCATTCTGAACCCCCGATTTCGAGCCACCCATCTGAACGAGATTCACTTTCATATTATGGGCCCGGCAAGTACATGGTTGAACCAAACTGTTCACATTGAAAGGGAAGTGTATGTCTGAAGCTGACGTGAATGTTGAAAGCGCATCACAGTGTATGTTGGAAGCCACTTCCCGGTTGACCGGTGATCCTGTTCGAAAACGGGAACCAATTGTGTTTAGGCGGTTGGTTCCATGTTTGTGCGTCCCGCACCCACCAGAAAAAGAACATACTCCACTAAACACTGGTGTGAGCACTCTGAAAAGGCCCTGCTTCTTTGCTTGGTGCCCTTTCACTGGTTGGGCTGACAAGCCCTCCTCTTCGGGTTACAGCCCAAACTGTGTAGAGTGAAAGTAGATCTGTGGCCCATGTCGGCAGGGGGATGACTAAACCAAACTCACGCATGCAAAACAAAGGCAGTCTGATGGGGTCCTCTCATGCACTTCGAGGCATCGAGGCTGCGGCGGCGCGCTCAAGCACGCGGCCCAGGATGGCGTCCTCGCCCGCCACCGGCACCTCAGATTGGGTAAGCATAGAACCCAAACAACCGACATCAGAGGAGGAGTCTCCTCGTGGGCGGCCTCCTCTTTTAGTTAGGTTCTCGAGCCAGCTACCCTCTCTCCAACAATCGTGACAGTGGATGATCGGATGGTTTCGGAAGACTGCCAGTCTCTTTGTCGGCCCTTGTTCACTTCCATGATTGTCAGGTAAAATATGGAAATTGTGATACGGTGTAAAACGACATGCAACTGCCCGGCCATTTATCATGATGCTAATCCTTGATTTAAGACGTATTTACTACGGAAGACCTGAGTTTCAACATATGGGGGTTGTAAAAAAAATACTTTGGCGGGGGAACCCCCAATCGCCGGCCAATCGCGATCCCACGGGGTCCAATCGCGGAGCAACGTTGGGCATCGCTGCTGTTTCTGTTTCGAGTTTCGCCATCTTATCTCAACAAGCGCTTGCCTTTCTCCGTATAACTGGAAACTGCAAGGAAGTGACGTGGCTCGGATGGGCAGGGGCTCACTGGTGGATTTCGTCCAATCGCCGTCCAATCGCGCAATTCGGCGGTGAAACTTCGGTTTGCAGCTGCCAGCCCTTGCCAGCAAGCAGATTTGGAAAGCACTGTCTGGCCTTCCACAAACGAAATCAACATTCAGGACTGCAAAGGAAACTTTTGCTTGAGCCCGCGCAGTCAGAATCAGCAAGACGTGCGTCGGCGCCATGCCCCGTCTAAACCCGTACTAAATTCGTTGCGCTTTCGCGGTCCAATCGCCGGCCTTTCGCTTAATCATAAATTTTAGACATGCAATTACGGACGACCCCCATATACCCTAAACATGTGGGCATTTGTCTGGGGGTATGGCCAAAATGGTTTGGGACCCCCAAAAAGCCTTGTATTGTAGCATGTATACATATTATGTAATACTATCGATATAATAACCTCCAACACGCCCTTGTATGGAAGGGGTTGGGGTGTTCTCCTGTCTCTGAAAGGCTTGTCGTTCTTACCATATCCTCCCTGACAAAGCCAAAGGAAGCGAAGCCAAGCAGCAAAACAAAAGGAATCTTAGCATGGTTGCAATTCACCCTTTTTAGTGAAGAACGTGATCCTACCTTACTTCCCACAATTGTGACTTTGACCAAAAGCAAATTTACAATTTCCCACCCAACACTCTGAGAGCTGGGCATCGAGCAGGCTGCTCCGACTCTGCTCCCCACCTCCGCTCATTCTGCTTCAAGGTTTGGGGGCTGCACAAGCAGGTTGGGTGCTACAAACCGGGCTCTCCCATGAAACAAACACGTGTGTCTTACTTTAAGACGGCATTCCAGTTGTGCTTCCCCCATGCTTTCAAGGAGTCCTTCGTTTCGACAAACAATGCGAACAAAAACAGGAGCCTTTGCAGTTTCTGATAACACGATGGGGGCAAGAATGGGGGATCAACCTGATAGCAGGAGATGGACCCCCTCAACACGGATGATTTCTTGTTGGCTTCCCTTGAGGAACCAAAACAGGATTAAACAAAAAGACAAACACCCGCCAGAAGGAAACACTATCAACCTCCTGAGTCCTCCGCATCAGCACCGAATCAGAGCCAAGTGGACCCTCCCCCCAGTTGGGTGAAGGTAGATGCCACAGATCCCGAACTTTGGTTTAGTCATTCCCTTGGCTTACTCCCCTACCCCTACAGATTAACTGCTTGTAGAGGACACTCCTTTTAGGGGAGCCCCCTTTGTGGTCGCATGTTAATTTGTAGGGGAGTACCCTCATAAAGGGAATTGTGCCGTCTACTCTCACCCTGATGTAACTCATTGGCTGAAAGCACGCAATATTTTGGACTATGTTGGGCAACCAGGCACAGCAAACAAAAATAAGTTCAACAAGTCTGAGTGAACTACAAGAATTCACAGGAACCTGAGGGCCGTGGATTGTTGGCCCAGGAACAACCCAACATCTTGGGAGTTCTCCAGCACACTGATAGGCAAAAGGCTCCAAACTGTATGACTAATTCATAGCCAGCCCTACTTTACGATCTCGGTCAGTTAGCATCACACCTCGGGTTCTTTGTGGCCGGCTGCAAACACACGAACTGAACCCTCATAGCAGACCCGCTTGCCTCTTTCAAGGGGTTGCTTTACAAGTCTAGTAAACAGTTCCCCATGCTCCATAGCTGTCGTAATTCCAGGCCTGGAGTGCGATCCGAAGGTATTCGGATCTGGGGAAGCAGCAGTAGAATAAGGGGGTTCCTTTCTTGTAAAGGGTCGGTCAGCAGGTAAACCCTATGCAACATGCGCCAAGATTTGGACTTTTGCCTTGACAAGCTTGGCAGACCTCCAAAATAAAACCTCATGGGGCGAGAATATTGTTTGTCCAAAATCCGAAGAAAGGCAACCCTTCGTAGGAAATGGTTATCTGGCAAGGTTGTCTCAAAACGTTAACCCCTCGCGGGTAGTCTTGAAGACGTAGTCTAGACACCAGGTGCTGAAAACATCACACCCTGAAGATAAGCCAGACGCCTCCTCTTGAAGGATCAGCATCTTCAAAGGACAGCTCTGGTCCACTGGTGGTCTCAAAGGACCTCAAACAGATAGCCTTGTATTTCAGGTCTTAAACAGTAAGTTGTTGAAGGACTGATACATCAGATAGATCCTACTACTACTTTGACGCATCTGAGGCAAGCGCTGCGAGTGGTCACCGAGAGTCCGATCCTGACCCGCTGATTGCAAACACACAGAATACAGCACCACATGGGAATGTGCCCAACCGGCCGGGTCGACACATGATCTTAATTTTTTTTCAATAGGTTTCACCCTCCCAATTAACATTCAGGAAGAACTAAAGAGCCAAACAGCGAACAAATACAAAGGGCGGCGAAGACAGGACAACTTTGTTGTCCCCTGAAACAAATATGTCCTTGTGGCTGTGTGTTGACTTATGGCTATTTGTTGAGTGTATCCAATGCCAATCCCGTTGCCATGGCCGACGCTGAACATTGACCGTTGTGCAGGTAGGATGTCCAATGATTGGCTTCCCTGACATTGAACTGGTTGCCCCCAACCCCAGATTTGAAATCAAAGAGGGGCTACGTTAACCTTCTTCCAAGGGCTCAAAAGCAACGGCTCATGGGTCATCTCTTGGTTGACGTTGGAAGGGGAGCAAAAATTTAAGTTTTAGCAGGTAAGTGGGGATTTCCCACTAAACCACAATAAGCAAAAATGTAAAATGTTTCCCAACGACAACCATGATCTAGCCCAGGGGTTCTCTTTGGGGAAAGCTTTCGAGGTCGCTGACGCTCAAACAACATTGTTCCACTTTGCTTCACAAACCAATGAACACACAACCACCGAGTCAGTACCCATGTTCATACGTCCATGGACCACACCATAGTCAACCATTGAGTAGGGGGCATTAGACAGCCACTCTGTATGGACTCCCGGTTCTACCAATGCAGTTTGTTGTGTAAAGGCGCGTGGGGTTTAGTGAAATCAGGCGATCGTCAGAAAAGTGCGGGGAAAAATACAACTCGCCAAACACAAGAGTTCTTCGTCTGACCAAAACGGTTTGTCACGGTCCCCTGGGCTCCAGGAAAGACTTGACTTTTCTTGGCAGCTGCTGTCGGACAAAACCAAAATACTATACTAAAAACAATCACCTCTTGTTCTCTGTGTTTTGGCCGTTGCACTCATCAAACAACCAAAACATCAAAACATGGAGCATGGGATTTGCTCCTTGGCATTTCTTTGAAACCAAAGCACCCAACAACAGATGGCTTTCCTTGCTTGGTGACATCTGAAAACAAAAGCGCCCAAACATTTCAACCAGATAACCTCTTCAGCTTGGTTGGTGTTCAAAAGCAAACACATCAACCACAAGAAGAACGTGTTTTCTTGAATGCTTTTTGGCCACCAACACGCCACTAAAAGAAACACCAGTTTCTGGGTTTGGAAACAACACAATCATCAAAGGTGGAGTATGTACACACGCAAAAACACCAAACTAAACCCAATCCAAGCATCAAAACACCCAGAGAACTGGAGATGAATACAATAACACCCAAAACTGACTTCATCGGAAGCCGTGCGGTGGTTTCCACGGGTTTCCACGACCGCGACAGCTTGGATGTCCAGATTGCCAGCTTCCGGGCCAGGGCTGGCAGGTTCAGCTGCAAGCTCACACGCCTGGCTGCAAAGTGGCAACGAATGCTTTGTTGTGTCTCTCTCTCCCTCTCTCTCTCTCTCTCTCTCTGTGGTACTTGGAAACCTCAATTTCACAAACGTGGGCGACCCGTTGGTAAGTGCGCAAACAGCCACGCTCGTGTGCGACCATCCCTTAAACTCAGCGAGTTGTTTTTGCGGGTGGTTTTCAAGGGGAGCCAAAAATAGTTGTCTTCAGGCGGTTCGAAAGGGAAACCCAACAGAAACCAGCCATGTTTGCTTTTGGGGGTCCCCATGAGACAAGCTCATATTATGAGAAACGGACAATGTTGCCAGGTATGGGACTTTGAGGGTCCATGCGTTTCTTGCGGTATCATTTGTTGGTATTCTCATGTTCTGTTGGTCACTTCGGAGCCAGGTCCTTTCAGTTTCCTTCTAACAATGACAGTAGGCCGGGTGAATGGACAGAAAGGAAGGCTTTTGGCCCCTATACTTCTGGGTTGGTTTTTCCAGGCCTTGGGACGGTTAGACAAACACCAGAAATCTAGACGTTCCAGACACTATTTCTAGTAGGTTTCTTGAACCGCCATGTTTCACTTTGACAGCCACCTCAAGTTGTTCCTGAGGGCTTCCTGAAACAGCAAAACCCAAGCTTCCCAAGCCCTTGTAACTGTATGTTAGCAAGCACCACACAGACAACAATATTACGAAATATCAGCCAAGACCAGTGATGAAAAGACACCGGAGTTGACTGTTTCCTGTCTCCCTGGCTGACTAACCTGCTGAATATTGTTGGCGATAAAGCGTGACTAAAATGATTGGCTGCCTTGCCTAAACGCCTGCCAACAACCTTTAGTCAGTTTGCCAACTCAGTTAATAACTTTTTGTGTTTGCTGAATATAAGCCGTAAGAATTCAACCTCCTTATGCTTAGGTCTTGCCTGAGCATTTAGTGTTGTCTTTTTCCCCTTTCGAACAAACAACCACTCATTTCACCTAAGTACGCTCAAATACAACTGGAACCACGGGTGGCCCGAAAGCATAATGGAAAGTGACCAAAGACCAGCAAAGCGAGCCGACATGCAGTGGTTGCTCAAGAGTTGGTGTTGCGTGCGCGCGCGCGCGCGCGCGTGTACGTGCGTGCTTGCGTGCGTGCGCGTGTACGTGCGTGCGTGCGTGCGTGCGCGCGGGCGTGCGGGCCTGCGTGCGCGCGTGCGTGCGTGCGTGCGTGCGTGCGTGGTGGTGTGCTACCGCGGATATCTGCAAAGTTTGCCCCTCTGTGACTGATAAGCTTCGGTGTTGCGAGGTCTATACAGGTGTTGCTCTGCGCGAGTGCTCGGCCCAAGTGTTCAGCGCAAGTTGCTCTGCGGGCGCAAGTGCTCTAAGCAAGTTGCGATGCGCAAGCGCTACGCAAAAGTATGCAAGTTCTCTGCGTGCAGCGCTGACCGCAACATGGCAACCTTTCGATTTGAGCCGGAGCTACGAATGCACCCTTTGTGAGCCACTTTCGCGCTGCTGACTTTCTAACTTAAAGGCCGCGGAGACCAAGCAGGATTCGAGCCCGGGGGCCGGTCTCTGCCAAGAGCAGGCGCGTAACCACGAGACAAACTCTCAAAGCCCACGTTTCGACTTGAAAAAGCAGCATTTTACTACCATTTCGTGCGACCCACCACGCCCATCCTCGCAGAGGGTCGCGCGGGCAAATCAGAAATCGTAAAAAGTCGTCAGTTTTTGCACATCGACCACGCCAATAGCAGAGGGTCGCGCGGGCACCTCAGAAATCGTAAAAAACCCTCAGGACCACGCCAATCCCCGCAGAGGGTCGTGCGGGCACCGCAGACATCGTGAAAAGTCCTCATTTTTTGGACATCGACCACGCCAATCCCCGCAGAGGGTCGCGCGCGCAGCTCAGAAATCGTACAAACCCTCAGTTTTTGCACATCGACCACGCCAATCCCCGCAGAGGGTCGTGCGGGCACCGCAGACATCGTGAAAAGTCCTCATTTTTTGGACATCGACCACGCCAATCCCCGCAGAGGGTTGCGCGCGCAGCTCAGAAATCGTAAAAAGTCCTCAGTTGTTGGACATCGACCACGCCAATCCCCGCAGAGGGTCGCGCGCGCAGCTCAGAAATCGTAAAAGTCCTCAGTTTTTGGACATCGACCACGCCAATCCCCGCAGAGGGTGTCATTTTCGCAGGGTGGGTTCGGTCCCACCGCGCCGCGCCGCCTTAAGAGACTAACTAATTACTTTCGTGTCCAAATGTCTCGTGCAAGTTTGGCTGTGTGATTTCTCGTGCGAGTTGTTCTCGTGCAAGTTGGCTCGTGTAAGTTGGCTCGTGCAAGTTGACTCATGCAAGTTGGCTCGGGCAAGTTGGCTCGTGCAAGTTGGCGCATCTCGTCAAAGTTGTTCTCGTGCAAGATGGCTCGTGTAAGTTGGCTCGTGCAAGTTGACTCATGCAAGTTGGCTCGGGCAAGTTGGCTCGTGCAAGTTGGCGCATCTCGTCAAAGTTGTTCTCGTGCAAGTTGGCTCGTGTAAGTTGGCTCGTGCAAGTTGACTCATGCAAGTTGGCTCGGGCAAGTTGGCTCGTGCAAGTTGGCTCGTGCAGTTGGCTCGTGTAAGTTGGCTCGGGCAAGTTGGGTCGTGCAAGTTGGCTCGTGTAAGTTGGCTGTGCAAGTTGGCCCGAGCAAGTTGGCTCGTGCAAGTTGGCTCGTGCAAGTTGGCTCGTGTAAGTTGGCTCGGGCAAGTTGGGTCGTGCAAGTTGGCTCGTGCAAGTTGGCTGTGCAAGTTGGCCCGAGCAAGTTGGCTCGTGCAAGTTGGCTCGTGTAAGTTGGCTGTGCAAGTTGGCTCCTGCAAGTTGGCTCGTGCAAGTTGGCTCGTGTAAGTTGGCTCGCGTAAGTTTAGCTAATGCGCAGAGCCGCAAAAAGCGACCAAGTGGAAGACACAGGTATGACAAACTCTCATTTGCCCAACTTTTTTGTACACCTACATGACTTTTCGTGATCTTTTTGCTTTACCTATGAATGACTTGGTGTAAAGTGATGGCCTTCTGGGACGCCATGACAGCACTGCAGAGAGCAGGACCCGGTCGATTCCTAGCAACTAGGAGTGTAGGGGTTTCCGTCGCGGAAGAATTCCGGGAAACTGTAACTTTTGGGCAATGCTTGTTGGTGCTCCAACGGCTGCCTTGATCGAAGATATATCGCCAGATATGATTGGATCAGCTTTAAGAATATAGGATAGGTACATCGCTTTCAAACAAAGACCTGGAAGCAAATGGTACGTTGAAATATGTTCGCTTTGAGCAAGTGAAGCCCCTTTCCACTACTCGCACCAGCAGAGAGCCAGTGGGTCAGAACAAGAAACCAAATGCCGAAAGGTCAGATCGGGTCGATTCTCTTGCTGGGGCAAACCAAGCGCTCCCTTTGCGTTCAGGCAACGTCCGCCGGCTTCGCCAGAGCGCTGCGCAGGCACAGGGCTGGAAGATGAAATGCCGCCGCGCTCTCCTCACCAACGTGGAGGAATACCGAGAGCGAACGAGCGCGATGTGGGCGCCGAGGCAAGATCCAAAGAGAACTGGCAGAAATCAAGTGGCCAGCAACAAAGAGCACCAGCCTCGTGTTGGTTGGTTGACTGATTTTGAAGTGAAACAGGGTTGCTCCACTGACCTCGGCAAGGTAGATAACTGATGCCAAGAAAAACAAAGGAACATCAGTTGTCTGCCTTCTTTTGGTCATTTCATGCCTCACCACAGGTCGAATCACGGGTGATTTGGCCCTTCAGAGAAGCGGGAACTCGAAGCTGGCTTCCATCACTCGCAACCTCACGAAGGAGTGCCCCCAACAAACTGTTGGTTTCATCTTCCCTCTGAAACCAACCAGCCAGAGGTTCCCAAACAGGACAAACCCATACATACAAAGCAATGCACCCCATTTTTCCCCTGAGTCAGTCCTGAACAATCACATGGACCCGTTCTTCAGCAGTACAAACGGCCTGCCACCAAAAGGCAACGCAACAGGCTTACCTTTTACTCACCAAACTCTCTGTACACAATCTCTTTAGGGGAAGGGCCTTTCAATACAATGACAAACGGGCAATTTCTGGAAAAGCAGGACGGAAAACCAGAACGGGGAATCAACCCTTGGATGAGCAAATTGCAAACTGATTTGGACCCTATCCAAAAGACTCCGCGCAGCCACCTGGGTGCCCAGGGAAGGAGCCCAAGTAATTCGCAATTCGAGTGCCCGGAAAACGGCATATGGAAGTAAGTGTGTTCAATGTTGCCACTTTGGAATTTTATCTGGCCTCAAGCGGTATGATCATTTTGGACAGGTTCATTGTTGCAATGGTCCAGGTCATGGTGTCATTGCTTCCGAATCGGAACCCTTTCGTCGGTTGCGGCAAGTTTCTAGGATTTGATGACCTTCCCGACCAAGCCAATGGTGTAGTGGCCATGGCACATGTGGGGATGTTTTGCCCTGTTGTTTGGGGTGATGGCGGGCGCACTTTTGTGACCGATGGCTGGTGCTAGGGGCATGCCGCTTGGGGTGCTGGCGCGGGCGGGTGGGGGGGCTGGTGACGGGCCCGGGCGCGTTTTTGCGAGACTGACGGCGGGGTGCTGGGGGGCATGCCATTTGGGGCGTATCGACCAGGTGCTGTTTTGGGATGCTGTTTGGTTGACGTGCTCTTCGGGCGTGCCGTCAGAGGTGCTTGCGTGACATGTGTTTCGCTATCTGTAAATTTTGTGTCTGAACCCGCTAGTGGGTCTGAAATATCAGACAAGGGAGCAAAAAGGGTGCCACAAAAACCTGAGTAGGGTATATTTGGGGTGTGTCGACCCTATACACTGTACGCGAGCCTACGCCGAAACAAGCTCTTACGCGGAGTGTCTTCGCAGACTTTTCTCGGGCGCTACTCTTAAGTTTGGGCAAAGGAAAAACATGCCTACGCGAACCTGTCTACACAGGAATTTCTTGAACAGCCTACGCAGACTGCCTAGGCGATCGTTTTCCCCACCAGAATTGCCTGTGTTGCCCCCGCACATAAAGAAAGTTCCCCCCGAACACTACGCGAATACATAGCAGGGAAAAACTCCGCTTAACTGGGTTTACGGCCGACTTCCCCATCCACCCGGTCCCAGTTTTGCAGTAGTCCATCGCCAGAATGAACACATCCGGAGACCTGAGTGGCAAGCTTGACCGGGAAAAACTGGGTGAACCGACTAGATGTCTAATAGAAGATCTTGCAATGATGTTTCAATTTCCCGCGCTGATGGGCACCCCCTCGGTGTCGGATTGTGTAGACTTCGGCTGAATGCGAAAAGGGGGCTCCCCCCTCTGATTCGTATGTTCATTTGATTCATCCGAAGTTGACATTCACCATGGATTTGCTTCCCCCTGCAGAAGGAAGATTTGGTCCAATCCATTTGAGGCAAGCACCCTGTAAGTAAAATGGGATCCCCAATCAACCTTCTCAGATCCGAGCACGAAAGGGAAGGAAGCGACGGGAAGGGGGTGGGGTTACAGTTCCCGTACTTTCATTTAGTCACTGCTTCCAACCAAAGGAAAATTGGCCTGCTAGAAATGACATGAAGGGTCGAAATCCTTTCCTGCGGACAGACGAAATCCTGCACCGCCTCTCCCAACTCCATGCCACTGAACAGGCCACACACCCCGCTTGCCCTGCCTTTTCAACGTTGGCATTCACGGTCATTGCAACATGTTTGCAAGGGCCATTACATGTCAAGGGAACGTGAGGTGTTCGTAAACCATAGCGAAAGCGGGGCAGGATTTTGTCCCTCAACAGCAGCTCCCTCAATCACTGCCAAGTTCAAGGTTGTGACAGGTTTCTCCATCTTCCAAAACTAGGAGGTCCCCTCAAGCAATGCCTAAATCTCAGGCGGAGAGCCATGTTTTCATAACATATTCAGGCCCAAGTTTGGCGCGTGCATGTCGGGGTCCAATGAAATTTCCAAGGATTTGCCTTTTGCCGCCCCCTTTGGGTTGAACAGAAGGGGAACAACTACGGTGACGCAGAAATGTCCGACTTGATTGCTCTTCAGATGATCTCCAGGAAATGACGCATCACTTCAAATTGGAGGACGCATCACTCAAATTGCCCAAGGTCCAAAGTGATGTTCGCCACCTGGTAGGGGAGCATGTAGGAATGGAAAATCACGGGACATGTTTATGACTTTCTAATTGGAATCTTTGTCTAAGAGTAAAAGTACATACCCCAAAAGTACATATCCCAAATTAATGGAAACACCTTCTCGGGGTAGGGATGTGTGCTTGCTGCTTTCACTGTTAGCCTATGTCAGGCGCTACTCGTGATGGTTTGTGTTCAGCCCCGGGATGGCAAAAGCAGTGTGGGCAGAACAACGCCCAGGTGATGCCCCAGATTTCGTATTTTGAGACCGGTGCTGAGGAACCCTGGACAAAAGCCCACCGGGGCCGCAGAGTACATACCCCAAATTTCTTCAATTTCTCCCGGGCCGGGAAAACACAGCATACCGTGGGGAAAAAAGTACATATCCCAAAATAGTTGGTTATGGGTGCGTCCTTTGTTCTGGGGCTCCTTTTTTGGGGTATGCGGGGGGGTTGTGGGACTTGGGGTAGCTTTTTGGTCATTGGGGTGGGGTTGGCGGGGAGTTCGGGGGAGGGATGCCGGGTGATTTCGGGAGAGTTTTGGGGGCCAGGGGCTTCGGGGGGTGGAAAAGGGAAATCCGGTGCCAAGAAACGCAGGTGCAAGTGAAAATGGGGCACGCCGCCTTTGCAACATTGTACAACCCCTATATAACCACTCTATAGTCAACTTTTTTTGGGTATAAACTTTGACACATGGAAGTGGTATACTAGCAAAAGGTAACTGGTATACAGCATATGGGGGAAAATCAGACCATTTTGGCACAACAATTCGGCATAATCATGCCATGTACGTGTTTACCATAAACCAAGAATTGGCCATAAAACCATGCGCATTTCAGTGCCCAGTGTTTCTCAGATGCTTCACATGTGTTTCTAGCAAACACATGAGAAGCATGTGAGGAGCACAGAGCCATTATCCGCAGACTCATGCACATCCAGTATCATTGCTACACACATGAGGGTTGGTAAGCTTCCACACATGTGCGTTGATTAAGTGCTTGATATGGCTACAATACAGTGAGCATTGGGTGGGTAGGCACTATGGTTGTGACACACATGTGGTGCGTTGTTTGCCCTCATTGGTTACATGTGTGCTTCTGTGTGTGCATGTTCATATTACTGAGAAGATTGACATGTGCTTCTGACATGAAACTCCTGTGCTGAAGAGCTGAGCACAGGAGTGGCATGTCCAAAGCACATGTTACATGCCAACATGGAACATGCCCTGGCGCAAGCAGCAGCTGCAGCGGCTTGCCCTGCAGCATGAGGAGGTCTGCCTGGCGCATTTGCGAGTACAGCTGCATGGTTCAGAGCGCATGGCTTCTTATAATTATTAGACACCTCCAAAGGTTGTGCCAGGAAGGGCCACAGTTTTGCTATTTAAGCTTTGATGACACATTGGGGGAGTAGCAGGGCCACATGGAAAGGCATGGCATTGAAAGGGGGCCAATGCCACGCCAGGCAAGGCAGAGCTACTGCCTGCGCAGTGCTGAACTCAGAGAAATCATCAACTGTGAGTTTGCTTGTTGGTGCAGTGGTCCAGTAAGCCACTGGAAAACTTTACCACTGGACCACTGGACCATCTTGCTACCCAGTAGGCACTGTTGCATAACCCTAGTGTCGATGGGGCCTGAAATGGCTTGATCTTGAGGGTCCAAGGGTCTTGAGGAGTCGTGACCCTTACAGGATCTGCCAGAACAGGAAAACCAAGGGGAAGCCAACACCAACCTCCTCTTTTTAGGGAGGGGGCACTGTGATTTGCTAGCAAATCACATGGCGTGGGTCAAAACCCAGAGCACCACTTTTATTGGGCAGCACCCCTTTGCTTGGTCCACTTTGAGAGAGCTTGCGGGGAGTCAGAGGGGTATGAGGATCATTGGACCCTCCATTAGGATGTTGGGGGTGTCTGAATCCATCATTCTTGTCCCAAACCTCATTTACTGACCCCAACTCCTGGCACTTTGTGAAGGCCCTTATATTTTGGGTCTCGGGCTCCTAGTAGGTATCCAATATGTTCTTTTGGTTTTCATATTGGGTGGCATGCCCTTGGACACCTGCCCTTACCATGGCTGAAGTTTGCTTCAAGTATCACGTGGGAGGAGAAAACAGGGCGCTCTGCACTGGGCTGAAAGTGGCAATATATGTAAACCACAGGGTCAAGTAAACCAGCTTCAACAATTTCCTCAGACTCAGCAAGCTCATGGAGCATCCTGGGCCAGCGTTGGCCCCCCTTCCCCCGGCCCAGGCCTCTGCATGGACTATGGCAAGCTGACCAAACCTCAGAGTGCATGCACGCACAAGATGAGTCTTGGTCACAGTGAGGGTGTGTTTCTGCAGCCAGCATGGACCCTACCTGTAAGGAAACACTTCTTTGCTTAATTAATGAGTGGGGCGCACTTTCTGTGACGTAATCGTTTTGCAATAGCAGCGTGTCATAAAGAGTGTCCAGGCAATGAGAGGGCAGCAGCATGCCAGCATGACTGACAATTCAAACATGACGAAGCCCGGGCGGGCCTCCTCATGCTTGCATTGCGCAATCATGTTTGAGTGCATGGCTGACACTATATGACTCCTATGCACCACAGCTATGTGCTTGAGTCTGAGTGGTAGACTTGTTGAAAGCAAATAGCTTGTGGCATAATGCCAGTGTATGACAGACATGTCAGACACGTGTGAGAACGTGTGGGTAACATATGCAAAAGTATGAGAAATGTGTGAGAAAGTATGTAGCATATTTGATGACACATATGAGAGACGCATGAGACACATCTGAGAAACATATGATAGCAACTATGAGACGCGCATGAGAAAATATGACAAACTGTGAGAAATATGAGAAATATGAGAAACTATGAGAAGTATGAGAACTTATGATAAATCTGAGAAAATATGAGAAGCTATGAGAAATATGAGAAAATATGAGAAACTATGAGAAATATGAGAAACTATGAGAAACTATGGAATGTATGAGAAAATATGATACAATATGAGAAATATGAGAAACTGTGATAAATATGATAAACTATGAGACATATGAACAATATGAGAAACTATGACAAACATATGAGAGACATGTACATGTGTTAGACACATACAAAAGTGCGGGGGACATGAGGTGCCTGTCAGAGCACGTTGCATAAGTGCGAGACATTATGAGGAGCAGTGCATGCATGAGATAAGCATGCATATCGTGTGGCTGCTTTATGCCCCCCTTTGGCTTGCGATATGTTCATCACGTACTTCTCACTTGACAGTGTCACTATTGAACACAGTGTTTGCACTGCACTGCAAAGCTCATGAGGGGACCTGACAAGAGATGCAACTATGGGAAGTGTAGCATCTCACACTTGCATTTCTTCTCACTTTTCCCTTATATGGCAGCGGCCCTTCCCTGTGCGCATCGGTTCCGCTTTCCAAGGCATAGCTGAGGAGCACAGCGAGATGTTCTGAGAGGCTGGGGTGGGCAGCATGCAGGTCTAGTGCATGATAGCATGCGCACTTGAAGAGAGTTGAGGTGCAGCCTGCAACTAAATTGCCTGCTATTTGGCCCATGCTGCAGCAGCTCTTTTTTTCTGCAAGGCACTCATCAGCAAACAGCAGGCACTCAGCAGGCACAGCAGCTCAGCACATCTACCCCCCTTCCGACAGCCATGGTTGTTTGCCTTTTGCCGGGGAGAATCTCCTTGGAGTGCCTGGCGGAGTACCGAGAGCTGGCGCAGCGGGAGAACGTTGAGCCTCCCTGTGAGCCAGGACCCTGCCCTTGTCCTGCCCAAACTGCACCCAAGGCTTGGCTAGTGTGTGATTCTGTTACATACAGGGCGCGCTTTGTGCTTTGCAGTCTCCCCTGTGGGTTGCCCGAAGGACGCCTGCCGGTGAGGGTGACGCCTGACTTTATCCCGGTGCTGCTGAAGCCAGTACCAGCTGGGCGACTTCAAGCTGTCACCTGGCGACAGGGGCTGTTGACTTTTGAGCCAGCCCTCCTTGCCTGACACTCAAACCCTGTCCTATGGCTGAGGAAGAAGTCATCCACAGGCAG